CCTCCCATGTCCAGGCCGCCTGCTCCTGGACACGCTGCTTGGTCCTGGTATGGTGGGATCTTCAGTCACGATCGCTAGAGTGAGTAGACCAAGGCGCAGCGTGATGAGCAAACATACTTTATTTAAAGAGAGTAAACACTTGAACAAAACAACAAATGATACGTGCAGTCCTACGGTACAGACCAAAAGGAACAAACCAACTGGAACAAGATCCCACAACTCTTGAGGGAAAACAGCCTCTATAAATATGGCTCCCAATCAGAGACAACCAGCAACAGCTGACACTCGTTGCCTCTGATTGGGAACCACTCTGGCCAACACAGAAATACACTACATAGAATATACACACCCTGGCTCAACATATAGAGTCCCCAGAGCCAGGGTGTGACACACGCACAAAACCATGTGGGAACCAGAGGGTGAAATAGGGAAATAATCATCATACAATGGGAACCAGGTGTGTACAAGACAAAACAAGACAAAACAAATGGAAAAAGAAACGTAGATCGGTGGCAGCTAGAAAGCCGGTGACGACGACCGCCGATAGCCGCCCGCACAAGGAGAGGCACCAACTTCGGCGGAAGTCGTGACAACTGAACTCGATATGTAATTTATGTTACAGTATTACTATAAGCTCACAGTACAATGGTACGCTCAGTAATACTGTATGAAAACTGGAAAACGTTTTGTTATGAATGTTTTGTTGAAATGTTCAGTATTGACTGACTTGAGTACATGAAAATAAATACATATTTTCATTAGTCTGCACAATTGGTGTCATGTGGTGTTGGTGAATTTGTTTTGACACTTTCTCTGTGTAAATGCTAAAAGTGTTTTAGGTTGAGCACAGGAGTGTTTAACTGATTCAAACAGAATCAGACCATGTGTCACGCTGCTGTGAATTGGTGTGGTGTAGAATCAGGCGCAGGAAGCAGAGGATAAGTCCAACAAGACTTTACTTGAGCACACAAAATAAATCCAAACAGCCCGAAGGCAAAAAGACGCACACAGGCATAATAAAGCGAGCGCACACACAGGTGCGAAAATACTCTCCTAAAACACAAGGAGGAAGCTAATGAAAATAGCGCACCGACACGGGTAGCGCAACAACACGACACGAACAATTACACACAACACTAAACTAACAACAAGCCTGCAGGCGTGAATATGTGTGGTATGTTTTGTTCCCTTGGACCTGTAGTATTGTGTACTGCACACATACCGTTTTATGTACATGTAATTGTACTGTAATGTTATAGAGCAGACCTACAGTAAATTGATCTACACAATGTGCATATTTTGCTGTATTTTCAGAGAGTTTGCAAATGGAGCGGAGGGGAAGTCCCGCAGAGTTTATATACATTGATGCGGCTTGATTTAACCTGACAACAGCGGAGAGAAGGGGAAGAAGAAACATCATTGGCCCACAGGGCTATGGTCAATGGTACCAGGGAAACGTGGGGGTGGGGTGCGGGAACATTACCTTGTGCTTTTGCCTTACAAGAATGGGGGTCCTCCAACGCCATGCACATTTGGGTCCGTAACAACTGACCTCATCGGACATGTTTTAGACAGATTAACAATATTATCCACAGCAGCAAAACAAGGGAAAGAGGCAATACATTGTCGTATGGGGACAAGGTTAGCGTTCCATCGTTATGCTCTGGTCCAAAACTGGTTGTCATCGACAACCCACAATTTACAGTCCATACCTTCCACCTACTCACCCTTCCTAAACCCCATCGAGGAGTTCTTCTCAGCATGGCGGGGCGGTGGAAGGGAAGGTATTGATATCCGGCCCTATGTCCAGAGGGCCCTCATCAAGATATGGTGGAAAAGCATGTGACAAATTGAAGCAGCATCCATACAACGGTGGATTCGTAACTCCAAACTATTCTTCCTACGTTGCCTGGACAAATTGAACATATAGTCTGTGATGTGACGAGGCCTGTGGCCAGATCCAGCTAGGGGAGAGATTAGAGATGTTTAGGGTTATTTTTTATTTTTTATTCGGGGGTACTGATGTCAGTGGTGTCAAATGTGCAGCGGTAGGATGGAGTCAGGACGCAGGACACGAACTGAGTACACAACGGAATGTACTCTGAAAAACAAACCACTAATTTCACACCGGGAAAAAACTCCAGCTCACAAAAGCGTTATGACACAAACACAACGAACAAACACGCTGTCACGATGGCTAGAGTGAGTAGACCCAGGCGCAGCGTGATGAGCAAACAACTTATTTTAAAGAGAGTAAACAACTGAACAAAACAACAACGATACGTGCGTCTACGGACAGACCCAAAGGAACAAACCAACGGAACAAATCCCACAAACTCTCGGTGGGAACACAGCCTCTATAAATATGGCTCCCAATCAGAGCACACCAGCAACAGCGTTGACACTCGTTGCCTCTGATTGGGGAAACACTCTGGCCAAACAGAAAGACACTACATAGAATTACACACCCGGACTCAACATATCGAGTCCCCAGAGCAGGAGTGTGACAGTACCCCCCCCTAAAGGCGCGGACTGCGACCGCGCCAAACATAAACAAACAGGGGAGGGCTGGGGGGGTCATTCCTCTCGGAGGTGGGGTTCCGGCTCAGGGCTCGCCCAACAACCTCCATATCCCCCCGTAGCGCCCCTGGTACGGTCTGCGCAGCGCCGCTGGAGCTGGGACTGGGAGCATCGTTACGAGCGGATTTGCTTAAGCTCCGGTGTGAGCATCTGACGGTTACCTGACCAGGCAACGGTGTGACCAGGCGGTAAGGTGACGGATGACGACGCGCACCCCTGGCTTGGTGCGTGGAGCAGGCAACAGGCCGGACCGGGATGACGATGCGCCCCCTGGCTTGGTGCGTGGAGGCAAGAACGGGCCGGACAGGTGATGACGATGCGACCTCGGCTTGCGTGCGTGGAGCAGGAAACGGGCCGGACCGGCTGACGATGCGCACCCCTGGCTTGGTGCGTGGCACTGGAACAGGACGGGCCGGACCGGGCTGCCGATGCCAGCACCCTGGCTTGGTGCGTGAACCGGAACAGGGGAGGGACGGGTGACGATGCGCACCCCTGGCTTTGGGTGCGTGGAGCAGGACGGGCCGGACCGGGCTGACGAGGAGCCACCCTGCTTGGTGCGTGGAGCAGCAACGGGCCGGACCGGGGCTGACGATGCGCACCCCTGGGCTTGGTGCGTGGAGCGGAACGGGCCGGACCGGGATGACGACTCGCACCCCTGGCTTGGTTCGTGGAGCGAGGAAAGGGCCCGGACCGGCTGAGACTCGAACCCTGGCTTGGTGCTGGAGCAGGAGCGGGCCGGACGGGCTGTGACGATGAGCACCCCTGGTGGTGCGGGAGAAGGAAACGGGACAGGACCGGGGATGACGCTGCGCACACCCTGCTTGGTTGCGTGGGCAGGAAGGGCGGACGGGTGACGATGCGCAACCTTGCTTGGTGCGGGGAGCAGGAACGGGCCGGACCGGGCCGACGTATGAGCAACCCGGGCTTGGTGCGTGGAGCAAGGAACGGGCCGGACGGGCTGACGATGCGCACCCCGGCTTGGGTGCGTGGAACAGGACGGGCCGGGACCGGGCTGACGATGCGCACCCCTGGCGGGTGCGTGGAACAGGAACGGGCCGTCGGACAGGGCTGACGATACGCACCCCTGGCTTGGTGAGTGGAGCAGCAAGGGCCTTACCGGAATGACGATGCGCACCCCTGGCTTGGTGAGTCGGGAGCAGGAAACGCCGGGCGGGGCTGACGACTCGCACAGGGCTTGGTGGAGGGGGGCAGGAAAGGAAACGGCCGGGCCGGGGGTGGCGCTGGCGAAGCGCACAGTAGGCTTGGTGCGGGAGCTAGGAACAGACCGGGCCCTGGCGACGCGCACCGTAGGCTTGGTGCGAAGTGGCAGGAAAAAGGCCGGGCCGGGGTGGCGACGCACACCGTAGGCTTGGTGTCGAAGTGGCAGAAACAGGCGGGCCGGGGCTGGCGGACGCACCCCACCGTAGGCTTGGTGCGAGTGGCATGAAACAGGCAGGGCCGGGCGGCGACGCACACCGTAGGCTTGGTGCGAGTAGCAGGAAAGGCCGGGCCGGGATGGCGCGCCACACCGTAGGCTTTCTGCAAGGACAGGAAACAGGCCGCGGACCGTTACTGGGAAACACACACCACTGGCCTTTAAAACGTGGATCAGGAATGGGTCGGACCGGATGGCAATACACCTCAGTACCTCTAGCGTGCCCTCTGACAAACTTCCTTCCCTCCCTATCACCAATGGCTACCGTAAACCGTGTCATTCTCTCCTGTCTCCCATTTAGCCCTGTGGCCAGCCTCCTTGCTGCCCAGTCACCCATTCCAGTGTGGCCCCCCCCTAAAAAGAAAGTTGGGGTTTGCCTCTCGTCCGTCCGACGAACGACACGTTGAACGCCGTTGCTCCTCTCTCGCCCGGGCCTTAATCTTAGGCCCATGGCCCCTTGCCCCCGAGTATGTCCTCCCAGGACCACGATTTTGCCCACCTGGGCCACAGCCAACTTTCCAGCTCCTTTCCCGGCGCTCCTCCCAGTCCAGGCGCCTGGCTCTGACACGATGCTGGGTCTGGTATGAGTGGATCTTCAGCAAGATCGCGCTAGAGGTGAGTCGACCAAGGCGCGAGCGGAGAGCAAACATAACTTATTTAAAGAGAGTAAACACTTGAAACAAAACAACAATGATACGTGCAGTCCTACGGTCACGACCAAAAGGAACCAACCCAACTGGAACAAGATCCCACAACCTCTGAGGGGAACACAGCCTCGATAAATATGGCTCCCAATCAGAGACAACCAGCAACAGCTGACACTCGTTTGCTCTGATTGGAACCCACTCTGGGCCAAAACAGAGACATACACTACATAAATATAGACCAACCTGGCTCAAAACTATATAGAGTCCCCAGGCCGGGTGTGAACACGCACAAAAACCATGTGGGAACCAGAGGTGAACTCGGGAACTAATATCATACAATGGGCACGAGGTGTGTACCAGGACACAACAGCCCAAACACTGGAAAGAAACGTCGCTCGGGGCAGCTAGGACAGCCGGGGGACGACGGATCGCCGGGAGCGCCGCCCGCACCCGGAGGCCCCAACTTAGGGGCCGTCTTGACGCAAACCTGGATAGTAATTTCTGTTACAGTATTACCTCAGCACCGTACCTATCTGAGCACTTGGTGACCCACCACACTTGTGGTACACCCACAAGTGTGTTCTGAAATTCGCGAGTTTTTATTGCCGAATGTCACGTCATTTACACTTGACTCCCCTGTGGGTTTTTTGTCCCCCCCCGCCCAGTCCCCTGGACCCCCACCCTGTATACGTATTCGAACTGAAACCTTGCAAGTACTGAAAACTACATACCATCTTACGCCATACGCGACTGACACACTTAGGCAGTCATGTGTTAAAGTGGTAGACCATTGTAGTTTTGCCACTTCTCTGTGTCCCTCTCACCCCGTGTTTTCGGCTGCGCCCCAAGCGGTCATTCCTGCTTCCCCACGCCCTGTCCGACCCTGCTGTCCCGCAGCTGCTGTGCCTTCCGGTGGTGGCCTACCGACCGGCGCCGGCCACGCCGCCGGATACGTACCCCCAGCCCTTTCCCTTAGCGCCCCCACCCATCCTACCCCACCCGCCCCGCCGCGCCCCCCAGCCGCCCACCCGGGTTACTCCGCGAGCGCCCACCCGTTCCAGCCCGCCCATCTCTCGCAACCCATAGGACGGAAAGCTCCCTTCTGCACCCCTCGCGCACCCGCCACCCGGGTAGCGCCAACACACGGACCACCACAATCCCCCCAACCCCTAACAACTCACCCCAAGCAACCCCACCTAGTCGCAGACCACTCTCATGCGACCTCACACCCACCCCCCCCGAAGGATGGACTATCCAGCAGCACAACACCCACTAGCCAACAAACACACAGCCATCGCGCCCACAAAACAATAGAAAGAGTGGCAAGTAGTAATCCGGGAGAACGACGACGAGCAGCATACACCCTTGCAAAATAAAGACAAAAAACAAAGAAAAGAACAAGGAGGAGGAGCACACCTCGGCCGACGAAACCGTGATGCAGTTAACCCCACCCCACGCTCGGCCCCTCAAGGGGGACGACCAGGCGGACGCGGAGCAGGGCGCGTAGATGACCACGTGGAAATTCGGTCATCAGGGACGGATCAAGAAGTCCCTCCTCGGACACCCAGCACCGATCTCCGGGACCGTACCCCTCCCACTCCAACATATTGGAGACCCCCCTCCGGAGTATCAAATCCAGGATGGTTAATCGAACGTTTCCCAGCAACGCGGCGCCCCCTCCGAAGTCCACCCGGCGAGGCAGAGAGGCCGGTCTCCCTCAAAATACCTCAAGTAACCGGGAGTGGACCAGCTACCACCGGCCTGAGGAGGACACATGGAAACGAAAGGGATTAATATTCTTGTAATCAATAGGTTAGTTCTAACCTGAAAACACCTGTATCAAACTCCAGCAGGACTGTAAAAGGCCCCACAAAACCGCCGACCAAGACTATCGGCAGGGCCCAAAAAAAGAGAGGAAAAGGGCGAGAGAGAGAATTCTGGTTGAGAGGCCGACTCAGATCTCCAGGTAGAAGTACACACCGGCCCCTCACTGCGGTGTAGGCTCGGCGCTCGTCTAGTCTGTCGAGTATGGGACGCTGCAAGATAAGGACGGAGTGCAGCGTTCCACGTCTCAAACCAACCGAAGACGCCGCACCCACTCATCCACAGGGGGACCTCACATCTGGCTACTCATGCCATACAACATAAGGGCCCGAATCCGGTGTACACACCTAAGCAACCCACACAGGAAAGGCGGTATAGTTGACGTGGAAGGGATAGAGCCAGAGAGTATGAGCAGCCTTGCTTGTGTGCACCAAGTCGTCTCCGCGCCGCCATCATATGTACGAGGCGGCAGCATGTATCCTGCATCGACTCCACCGGTCAGCCCCCCACATGGTCTATTGGACCTAAGCACGAGGAGCTGGGGCCCAGGGGGCAACCGGATCACACCATGAACCACAAATACTATTAACGCCGGAGCTGTCAGCGAATGACCACTCAGCACTCGGCAAGACCCATGAGATGTCCACTTGTGGAGACATATTGGGACGGAGTAATCTGTTTTACACATTAATCTATATCCGGCGCACAGAGTGGTCAACCACAGAAACATCAGGGATGACACTTTGTAAGGTGTGTCAGCGTTAGTGGGACAACCACAGCAATATTTTCCCAGACAATTGCTTGATCCACTCCGGTACTGATGGGAGTTTGTGCACCTGTTCTCCTAAGCTGCGCACAGTCACCATTAACATTCATACGTAGGACACATCTCGAGGTACACATATTCTTTTCCTCTTGGGGTGGCCACCTAACCCCCTTAGATTCGCGTAAAAATTACGTTTGTTTTTTGCACAACACCCAATCCCACTGTCCTCCTCTTGCTCCATCTCAGGCGCACCCCAGGATAGGCGCAAGCACACCCCGGCCCACTCGCGGCACCCCACCGCAGAAGCACCACGAAAACAGTAGCATGTGTACCGTAGCAATCACTATCGCGCTAGCAAGACGGGCAGGCGCCCCGCCACTGGTGGCTGTAATTCCTGCTAGTGAGTGTCCTATCACCAACAAAGCCATGTGATTATATAGTAGTTTATGTTCGGGAAATTGATCCGCGGGCCTAAAGAAACGTGGGCCGGCCAGTTTCCCATCGCCTGCCGCGAACCAAATAAGAGGGATCACCGATCAGGTCATCTTCTTAGTGGGCTAGACCCAGCTCGGTAAGTCGATTTTGTGTGGATAAAGGCTTAACGAGATGGCAGAGATGAGCAGACGTAAACAAACGTAATCCACACTCCCCTTGGCGTAGGTAATACGCGGTGAATATGCTGTGGGTAACTACGACACAAACGTTCTCACCACGGACTGCCGCCGACCACCCAGACATGAGACGCAGCGAGGGCCTGGGGCAAGTGACAAGCCAACTGTGGGCAATCGCGCACTAGACGTTGGCCACCAGTGGTGGCGCTTCGTCCTGGACCGGGTCAGGTGGCACACCTTGATACTCCTGTCCCCAGAGCACTCGCCACACTACGGGATAGCCTCACGGGAGCCGGGCACGCGGGGAGTGTGGGGTTGAGCCCACAGTAAGCGTCACGCAGGACACGCCGAGTCAAATTAGGAAGCACTGAGACCCGCCGCCGCAACCCACCAGCTATCCACTTACGCCATATGCCAGACGTCAATCCATGAACGGCCCACATAGACCCGCGCACTAGACCGCGTTAGAACCGTTACTAAGGGTTAGAACATCGGTTGTACGTTCTGGGGTGCATGAGTTTTACTTTGTGTAGGGTACGGTGTGTCGCTTCAAGTGCGTTGCGTGGTGTGCGCTTGTATTTGTGCAGTGAATGCGTTGGCCCGTGTGTTAGTGTTGCATGTGTGTAAACTGGTAGTAGTCGATGTGACACTATTGCCTTTGCATTCAAGTGCTATTCCATTGTGTAACACTCTCTTCTACTCTGACAGGTTTCAGTTATCCAAGAGTCCAAGCTGTCCGATTGCGTCCGTCCAGGTGCAAGTAGCGACAGAGATAGCATGGCGGCAGTTACATCGTACGGACCGGCTCATCTACCTCCACTGCCCGCCACGGTCAGCACCCCTGGCTCCTCACCGGCGTCAGCCAGGCATCCACAGTGTAGTGTGTGTGATGCTTGCGCAACGCCTTGCGCGGCGTATGAAGATGAAGTCGAATGGGAGCGCGCGGGTACGCAAGACACCACACCAGACTGTCAGATGTCCCACGTTTTCCGGACGTTGTTACCTTGTGAAAACCCGTGCCTCGGGGACCATGCGCCATCTGCTCTCAATCCCCTGTCCCCTCTATAGGGCCTTCGCCCAACCGACCTCGGCGACGCGCAAGTATTTTGGAGATGTATATGAACTAACGAGAGAAATCTTTGCTACAGGCGCCGCGTACGTCCTTGAAAAATGTGATGCAGGTGCATCCCCAGTGAAGAGATGTCAGCGGCCAGAGGATGTTTGCGTCATCTTGTATGCCCTAGCCGTCTGCCGATAGTCGTTATTCCAGGTTAGGCGCGAAGGAAGGTCTTCATAACTAAAGACGTGTAAGGCACAGTGTGGCGGGATTGTGAATGTGGGTATGGGAATTGTGAGTGGCCAACACTGAGACACTTGCGAACAGTCAACGGTGACCTGACCACGTCATCATATGGAGGGCGCCTGTTAAGAACGGGTTGTATATGGATTAGGATGCACTCAGGACACCTGTCCCCATACGTCATAATCTGTGATTAATGAGCTCGCGCCGGATGAGCTTTCTGTTCAGTTGAGGAGGTTTTAGAAAATAGAACATGTGGGGCGGAAGTCATAGGTGTGATCTGCGTTCAGATAATGTTATTGTTTGGTTTAGCGACCGCTGATTGTTGAGGAAGAGGTTAACCAGGAGAGTCAGCCCACCGAGGATTACCGGCCCCACACACCAATGGACCAATATGGGCGTACCTTTCTATGTTTGACCGCCCCATCTACTGTCCCATCTACGGACACCACTACAGAGCAGCGAGGACCTCTTAGGATACCCAGGGACTGCATGATTTTTCAGAGAATTTTAGAACCATATAGACTTAAAAGATGCTCGCTCCCTGGCTATTGTTTCTTCCCTACCCAATTTATTTTTTCCTATAAATGATCAACCGACCCACAGAGAATACCATATTATTCTGCTTTCCATGTGTGCATTTTCAAAAAATGCCAGCTTAGTCAATGAAGCAGTCTTCAATGTATTTCCCAATATCAGGGTTGTATTGTTTTTGTGGTATTGGAGGGTGGTACTTGCAACACCATTTGTAGGTTTGATTTCCCTCATGGCCCCCCATATTATTACTGGATATACAGTACCAGTCAAAGGTTTGGGCCATACCCTACTCAGTCAAGGGTTTTTCTTTATTTATTACTTATTTTTACATTGTAGAATAATAGTGAATGACCATCAAAACATGAAATCAAGGCAACGGGGGGCTACTTTTGAAGAAAGAATCTCAATATAAATAGTATTTTGTTGTTAACACTTTTTTTGGTTACTACATGATTCATATGTGTTATTTCATAGTTTTGAGTCCTCTCACTATTAGAAAAATAGTAAAAGTAAAGGAAAACCCGGAATGAGTAGGTTGGTTGTGTTCCAAACTTTTACTGGTATGTATGTGTGAAACTGTCAGTTGTATGGGATAAAAACAGACACTGTAATTAGCCCTCCCTTGGTTCGTCGACCGGGGAGAACCATGAGGCGCGCACAATTGGCCCAGCGTCGTCCGGTTAGGGGAGGGAAGGAGTTGGCCGGGCCGGGGATTGCCCTTGTCCCATCGCGCTCTAGGCGACTCTTGTTGGGCTGACTTCTGTCGCCAGTTGACGTGTTTCCTTGACGCATTGGTGCGGCTGGGCTTTGGTTAACGAGCAGGCTAGCAGTGTGTCAAGAAGCAGTGCGGCTTGGCAGGGTCGTGTTTCGGAGGACGCATGGCTCTCGACCTTCGCCTCTTCCCGAGTCCATAGGGGAGTTGAGCGATGGGACAAGGACTGTAACTACACTTGTGTGAGAGAAAAAGGGGTCCAAAAACCGGTTCGTTTAATTGACATTTGTTGCAGTGATATTATTATGCATTTAATTTTCATCATACTGTGCATGTTACGGTCTTCTTGACTCAATAGGCTGGTGGTAAGGCTCTCGGCAAGGTGCCACCTCCTATTCCTACCAAGCCCCCGACCTTCGGCAAACCGCCCTACAGCACAGGCACCTTCCCGGGCAAGGCCAAACCGGCCACCTCCCTCCATCTGTGTGCACCTCCGCCCATTCCCATCCACAGCCACACCCTGCCTCTGCCCCCAAAGCAGGAGGCTCTTCCAGCAGCTACGGTGCGCCCCTTCACCTCGGATCCTCCAGAGTCCACAGCAGCAGTGCCTGTCCTCCAGAAGCCACAGACTGTGGCGGCCTCCTCCATCTACTCCATGTACACCCAACAGCCCAGGACAGGCGGGGGCACACTGACACGCACGCAGCCCAGAGGTAAGAGAAGGAGCCATGTAGTGTATGACCTATGACCTCCTATGACTCCTGGATCTTTACTATGTTACTAAACTGAGTAATTCAATCAAATCATTCTGCATTTTCTGTTATTGTTTAGCAAAATACCTGTCTTAAATTTCCCTACTAACAGCCTTACGCTCTTTTAAAAGATGTAATGGTGATTGTGTTAGTGTGCTAGATTGTTTTATTGCTATGAAGCAGCTTCCTTGATCCCATTAGCACGCATTGACCATTCACTCTCTCTCTGATAGTGTATGGAAAGCCAGTCATCCCTGGCAGTGGGGGGCAGCAGTCGCTCCTCCAGGACTCCACCTATCTGGGGGCCGGCGATTTCGAGGTGGACCAGGGGGGTCCCGGCCTGGCACCTCCGGCCCCCGAGAGCCAGTGGGGCCAGGAGACAGAGCGGGCCCCTCGTCCGCTCAGCCCCACAAAGCTCCTCCCCTTCATCTCGCACCCCCACCGGCACCCCAGCGACGCCGACCTGGAGGCCCTGCGCCGCCGGCTGCACCATGCCCCGCGGCCCCTCAAGAAGCGCAGCTCCATCACAGAGCCTGAGGGCCCCGCGGGGCCAAACATCCAGAAGCTGCTCTACCAGAAGACCACACTTGCCGCCATGGAGACTGTTGTGGCGTCCCCCTACGAGGGTGAAGGTGGAGGAACATGGAAGGAGGGAGCCAGTGCCGGTGGAGCCCCAGACCGCACTGGTACGTCCCAAGTTTTTACCGCCGCAGCGTCCCTCGCTGAGACTGAGGAAGACGCACAGGTGCCTCCTCCTCACCCCCCCCACTCGCCCATCCCAGAGCCCTCTTCCTCCTCCAGCCACACCCTGCCCCCGTCGCTGGAGGAAGAGGAGCCGGAGCCCTGCCCCCCGCCCCCCCATCAGCCAGAAGCCTACATGGAGGAGTACCCACCCTACCCGCCCCCTCCATACCCCAGCACGGGGGAGCAGGACCTGGGGGAGGACACCCTCAGCATGCAGGCTCCAGAGGTCACAGGACAGGTTACTCTGCCACCGGTATGTAGCCACACCCACATTCTATGTCCAAATAGCTCATACTAGCATACTGCATAGTATGAGGTCATGTTTTAGCCAACCATACTAAAATGTGTGCTGGTATGGATATTGGGTTACACGGATGGTGAAATATTTGGTATTGGGAAACCATTTTGATTGATGTATTGTTTGGAGGGGGGGCGGCAGGTAGCTTAGTGGTTAAGAGCGTTGTGCCAGTAACCGAAAGGTCGCTGGTTCTAATCCCCGAGCCGACTAGGTGAAAGATCTGTCGATGTGCCCTTGAGCAAGGCACTTAACCCTAATTGCTCCTGTAAGTCGCTCTGGATAAGAGCGTCTGCTAAATGACTTAAAATGTAAATGTGACATACAGTATTATGTATTTATAGTGGCAAATGTAGCAACGCGCATGCCCCGCCCACCTGATGATCTGTCTTTTTCAGCCATCTGTGTTTGAAGGGTGTAAAATTCACTTGTCCCTAGGGCCGTTGCGGTGAGCGTATTACCTCCACACCGGCAGTCATGAGTCATGACCGCAGTAAAATTCCATGTGACTGAGTCATGGTAATCTCCTCTTATACACTCTGGACATACTGTATGTTAGTAGTACCCAACAAGCTAACGACCATCAGGTCGCTAATGGCCTGGTACTCAGCGCTCTATCTTCCCTCTAACCACTCTGACATCAATGCAAATAAAATCGAAAATCACATCAAACACTTTATCATCAAAACAGCATCATGGTTTTAAAACTCACCTCACTGTGATGATCAATTTGAAGAAAGAAGTTCAACAGCAGGTTGAAACTGAGTGAAAAACATGGTCGTTGTGGATGTTGTTTCAAAGCCTGACATAATGAAATGGACAGTGCTTTCTAAGGTGATTTTTGTATTAAACATACGCATTATTAATAAATTGTTCCGTATACAATCATGCCCTACCGCATCTTTACGCACGGCAGATTAGATTCTTGGTACACAATTAGTCTAGCCTATAGCCAAAAATTAAACAATCTAGTAATGATGTGGCCTGTATGATTATGCATACTGGATGGACTTGGTTACCTATGCTACGGCTCCAAACTTTCTATTCATGAGTCTGGGAGAGAATTTATAGGCCTAGGCGATTCTGTTGGTTCATTGATTGTGCTGGGTGGCTTACAGAGTTAACCTACAATTATAGTGAATTTGATTTTGAATAGCCGAGTAATAGGGAATTTTTCATATTTTTATATTAATAGGCTGACACATTAACTTTAGCTACAGAATATATCACCACCGTGCGTTTCACATCTCCTACTCTACTCTCGCTTCTTCATTCCTTTCTCGAGCGTTCAGAGAGAGGGGCTGTCAACAGTTTAATGAAATATGTTTAGTGTGAAAACATGTTGCTATTGATGTTACCGAAAATACACCCAGTGTATTTATGCAAATGAGGCACATATCATTTTATTTTTTAGCACACAAAAAAAAATACCTGATACAATAACAAAATGTATATATTGAATGCATAAAAAAAATGACAAATTGAATACCTGAATTTCCACCAAAGACCCTGAACTCCATTCATTATTTGTCCGAGCCAGTAAAATGTTGCATGTGCTATAATTCAGTCAATATCTCATGGATAATACCAATTCTAAAAGTTTGGAGGATCTTCATCCATTGTCCAACTGTTGCATTTATTGTAATAAATTGTAAAACCTTTTAGCAATTTCGATGACCATAGCTAGCAGATGTCACTGCATTATATTGTAATTGTGAAACATCTATACTCCTCTCCTCCTACTCCCCTCCTGCAGGGCAAAGAGGACCAACCTGCGCAAGGTCGGCTCGGAGCGCATCGACCACGGCATGCGGGTCAAGTTCAACCCCCTGGCCCTGCTGTTGGACTCATCTCTGGAGGGCGAGTATGACCTGGTGCAGAGGGTCATCTATGATGTGAGTTTATTTGATTTTTTTTATGTGTGGGCCAGTCCCACTCCTTTTAATTGAAGAGATAGTGTTGGGAAGATAAGGGGGGTGGGGAGTCGAAGGGCTGTTGGCCGGATTCGAACTCCGTGATGTGAATTTTACATGTCCCCGAGTGGCGCAGTGGTCTAAGGCACTGCATCGCAGTGCTAGCTGTGCCACTAGAGATCCTGGTTCGAATCCAGGCTCTGTCGTAGCCGGCCGCGACCGGGAGACCCATGGGGCGGCGCACAATTGGCCCAGCGTCGTCCAGGGTAGGGGAGGGAATGGCCGGCAGGGATGTAGCTCAGTTGGTAGAGCATGGCGTTTGCAACGCCAGGGTTGTGGGTTCGATTCCCACGGAAGGGGCCAGTATGAAAAAAAATATATCTAAGAATAATGCATGCACTAACTGTAAGTCGCTCTGGATAAGAGCGTCTGCTAAAAAAAACATATATATGTATATATATATATATATATATATATATATATATATACATCATTAGCCCAGCTAATATCCGCTGTTTCAATGTTAATACTACAGACTGGATAACCTCAGACGACTCTTCCACACAACCGTCCCATAAGCAAAGGCTTTGCAATGCCGCTGCAAGTAATACTTAAGTAGTACTCTTAAGCAACTACAAACGCTGGTCTACGTCCGTCAAAACGCTTATCTTAGAAGTTGCCCTTAGACACAGTTATAGGATCTGCTAAAACCTACCCAAATCCTAACCTCAACCATGTTGCCCTTGGGCACAGATCTAAGATCAGCTAATCCCTAACATCAACCGTAAGGGGTAAAGACAGATAACTGACCTTGTCTAGGAAATGTTTTGAAGCCTATTAACTTTGTGCCTTATAGGTGGATGACCCCAGCCTGCCCAATGACGAGGGCATCACAGCCCTGCACAACGCCGTCTGCGCCGGCCACACCGAGATCGTCAAGTTCCTGGTGCAGTTTGGCGTGAACGCCAACGCTGCCGACAGCGATGGCTGGTGAGCCATTGTCACTTTACAGTAGCCAGTGTCACATTACAGTGGCTGTTGTCCCTTTACAGTATATTTAAAGTGGCTGTTGTCCCTTTACAGTATATTTATAGTGGTTGTTGTCCCTTTACAGTATATTTATAGTGGCTGTTGTCCCTTTACAGTATATTTATAGTGGCTGTTGTCCCTTTACAGTATATTTATAGTGGCTGTTGTCCCTTTACAGTATATTTATAGTGGCTGTTGTCCCTTTACAGTATATTTATAGTGGCTGTTGTCCCTTTACAGTATATTTATAGTGGCTGTTGTCCCTTTACAGTATATTTATAGTGGTTGTTGTCACTTTACAGTATATTTATAGTGGTTGTTGTCACTTTACAGTAGCCAAAATCACTTTACAGTAGCTGTTATAAAAGCTCTTGTCACCCCCAGCAACCAGTAGCACGTCACATCCAAGACTGTCTCAATGTGTTCATGTGGCTGATGTTATCCAGTCGCCCACTATTACTGAAGAGTTATTTTTATCTCTCCCCTCCTTCCCTCCCCTACTCTCCCTCACCCATCCTCTTGCTCTCATCTCCTCCAACTCTCCCACCTTGTTCCCTCTCTTCCCTCCTCTCTTCCTCTACCTCCCTTCCGTCCGTCCCTACCTCACTCTACTTCTCCGTGTCTGTCTCTCTCCCAGGACTCCCCTGCACTGTGCGGCCTCCTGTAATAACGTGCAGGTGTGTAAGTTCCTGGTGGAGTCCGGGGCTGCTGTGTTCGCCACCACCTACAGTGACATGCAGACAGCGGCCGACAAGTGCGAGGAGATGGAGGAGGGCTACGCCCAGTGCTCCCAGTTCCTCTACGGTGAGACCGCTAGTGTTCGCTGACTGGAGACAAAGCGCAAACATTATTTGCTCAAAACAATAAAACACTCAGTGTGCCTGTTACTCTTTTTCCCTTTTGCAACCGACTCGACCCCTCCGCTTGTTTACAGAATTCAGCTACCCTCACCTACTCCAACTAACGTTCGGTCCTCCATAACGTTTTAGCGGAAATTGAATCTTAACGGCTTGTTCCTGACGAGGTGGGTGGGACTTTGTGTCGATGCAGGTGTACAGGAGAAGATGGGCATCATGAACCGTGGGGTGGTGTACGCCCTGTGGGACTACGAGGCCGAGGACGATGACGAGCTGGCCTTCCAGGAAGGCGACTGCATGACGGTGCTGCGGCGCGAGGACGAGGACGAGATAGAATGGTGGTGGGCCCGCTGCGGAGACCGAGAGGGCTACATTCCAAGGAACCTGCTAGGGGTGAGCAGGAGAGAGGGGAGGAACACTAGCCTGGCCACACATACAGTGCATTCGGAAAGTATTCAGACCCCTTGACTTTTTCCAAATTTTGTTACGTTACAGCCTTATACTAAAATTGATTACTTTTAAAAATCCACATCAATCTACACACAATACCTCATAATCACAAAACGAAAACAGGTTTTTAGAAATTTTTACAAATGTATAAAAAACTACATTTAGCTCAGGTGCATCCTGTTTCCATTGATCATCCTTGAGATGTTTTTACAACTTGATTGGAGTCCACCTGTGGTAAATTCAATTAATTGGATGATTTGGAAAGGCACACATCTGTCTATATCAGGTTCCACAGTTGACAGTGAATGTTAGAGCAAAAACCAAGCCATGAGGTCGAAGGAATTGTCCATAGAGCTCAGAGACAGGATTGTGTCGAGGCACAGATCTGGGGAAGGGTATCAAACATTTCTGCAGCATTGAAGGTCCCCAAGAACACAGTGGCCTCCATCATTCTTAAATGGAAGAAGTTTGGAACCACCAAGACTCTTCCTAGAGCTGGCCGCCCGGCCAAACTGAGCAATCGGGGGAGAAGGGCCTTGGTCAGGGAGGTGACCAAGAACACGATGGTCACTCTGACAGCTCCAGAGGGACTGGGGAGACTAGTCAGGATCGAGGGAAAGATGAACGGAGCAAAGTACAGAGAGATCCTTGATGAAAACCTGCTCAGGACCTCAGACTGGGGCGAAGGTTCACCTTCCAACACGACAATGACCCTAAGCACACAGCCAAGACAACGCAGGAGTGGCTTTGGGACAAGTCTCTGAATGTCCTTGAGTGGCCCAGCCAGAGCCCGGACTTGAACCCGATCGAACATCTCTGGAGAGACCTGAAAATAGCTGTGCAGCGACTTTTCCCCATCCAACTTGACAGAGCTTGAGAGGATCTGCAGAGAAGAATGGGAGAAACTCCCCAAATACAGGTTGCCAAGTTTGTAGCATCATACCCAAGAAGACTTGAGGCTGTAATCACTGCGAAAGGTGCTTCAACAAAGTACTGAGTAAAGGGTCTGAATACTTATGTAAATATGATATTTTATTTATTTATTTTTTATACATTTGCAAACATTTCTAAAAACCTGTTTTTGCTTTGTCATTACGGGGCATTGTGTGTAGATTGATGAGGAGAAAAAACTATTTAATCCATTTTAGAATAATGCTGTAACATAACAAAATGTGGATAAAGTCAAGGGGTCTGAATACTTTCCGTATGACGGAATACTTTCCGAATGCACTGTCTTCTCCACCCCTAGTTCCTAAGCCCTAGGCACTCCTGTAGATCTGAAATGATTGGATAGGTGTAAGAAATGTGGCAAAACTCATAAGCAGGGTGAAGAGGGGTCAATTTGGAATTCAGCAGTAGTCAGTAGTGTGTTTCTGTGGGCTGCAGCTCCATATTGTATTCAGAGCAGTGGTTTAGTATAGGAAAAGTGGACATATACATATCCGGTGGTTTTGACCAGGGGGCATTTCCACAAAACGTCTAAGAGGAGGAATGCTGATCTAGGATCTGTCCATATACTGTAAAACTTCCATTAAATGCCGAGCCTCCAACAAACGCTGGTCTCTTCTAATGGCCGGGCATCGCAAAGTAAATGGCAGTCTCTATTAAATGCAGGGTCAAAAAAGAGTCATTACCAGTAGGTTATGCATGCACACATTTTGTCGCACTGCTCCAGTGGAATTCCACAGCATCTCTACCAAAGTTGATTAATTGTTTTTCAAGCCTCTCTCTCTACCTCGCGCTGGATGATTGATCCCTACCTGCCAAAATGCAATTCTGTCTGTGTAGCCAGCGAAGAAAACTGACCACCGGGGTACAGTTAGAGGTTGGATATTAGACAGACATTCGGCTCTATGGGGCTAGTTAGAGATACAGTGAGGGGAAAAAAAGTATTTGATCCCCTGCTGATTTTGTACGTTTGCCCACTGACAAATAAATTATCAGTCTATAATTTTAATGGTAGGTTTATTTGAACAGTGAGAGACAGAATAACAAAAAAAAAAATAAAAAAATATTAATTGATTTTCATTTTAATGAGGGAAATAAGTATTTGACCCCCTCTCAATCAGAAAGATTTCTGGCTCCCAGGTGTCTTTTATACAGGTAACAAGCTGAGATTAGGAACACACTCTTAAAGGGAGTGCTCCTAATCTCAGCTTGTTACCTGTATAAAAGACACCTGTCCACAGAAGCAATCAATCAATCAGATTCCAAACTCTCCACCATGGCCAAGACCAAAGAGCTCTCCAAGGATGTCAGGGACAAGATTGTAGACCTACACAAGGCTGGAATGGGCTACAATACCATCACCAAGCAGCTTGGTGAGAAGGTGACAACAGTTGGTGCGATTATTCGCAAATAGAAGAAACACAAAAGAACTGTCAATCTCCCTCGGCCTGGGGCTCCATGCAAGATCTCACCTCGTGGAGTTGCAATGATCATGAGAACGGTGAGGAATCAGCCCAGAACTACACGGGAGGATCTTGTCAATGATCTCAAGGCAGCTGGGACCATAGTCACCAAGAAAACAATTGGTAACACACTACGCCGTGAAGGACTGAAATCCTGCTGCGCCCGCAAGGTTCCCCTGCTCAAGAAAGCACATATACAGGGCCATCTGAAGTTTGCCAATGAACATCTGAATAATTCAGAGGAGAACTGGGTGAAAGTGTTGTGGTCAGATGAGACCAAAATCGAGCTCTTTGGCATCAACTCAACTCGCCGTGTTTGGAGGAGGAGGAATGCTGCCTATGACCCCAAGAACACCATCCCCACCGTCAAACGTGGAGGTGGAAACATTATGCTTTGGGGGTGTTTTTCTGCTAAGGGACAACTTCACCGCATCAAAGGGACGATGGACGGGGCCATGTACCATCAAATCTTGGGTGAGAACCTCCTTCCCTCAGCCAGGGCATTGAAAATGGGTCGTGGATGGATATTCCAGAATGACAATTACCCAAAACACACGGCCAAGGCAACAAAGGAGTGGCTCAAGAAGAAGCACATTAAGGTCTTGGAGTGGCCTAGCCTGTCTCCAGACCTTAATCACATAGAAAATCTGTGGAGGGAGCTGAAGGTTCGAGTTGCCAAACGTCAGCCTCGAAACCTTAATGACTGGGAGAAGATCTGCAAAGAGGAGTGGAACAAAATCCCTCCTGAGATGTGTGCAAACCTGGTGGCCAACTACAAGAAACGTCTGACCTCTGTGATTGCCAACAAGGGTTTTGCCACCAAGTACTAAGTCATGTTTTGCAGAGGGGTCAAATACTTATTTCCCTCATTAAAATGCAAATCAATTCATAACATTTTTGACATGCGTTTTTCTGGATTATTTTGTTGTTATTCTGTCTCTCACTGTTCAAATAAACCTACCATTAAAATTATAGACTGATCATGTATTTGACAGTGGGCAAACGTACAAAATCAGCAGGGGATCAAATACTTTTTTCCCTCACTGTATATATCCAACTTCAAACTAACTTTACCACGATCCACTTCGCCACTTTGTAGCCTAACATTTGCAGTGCGTTCTAAATGTAAGTGTTTTAATTAGCAAACGGGACTGTCTGGGAACTTAATGACAGTAGCTGTTTTTATCAACTTGTAGAGCTAGAAACTCAAATTATAACAGGGTGAGCTCTGCGTTTAAAGCAAATAAACGCCTGGGCACTTAAAAAAAGTTTACTGGTAATCTTATTCATTATGGCAAATTAAATGTCAAAAGTCCTACTCTGAGATGTTGTGAATACTGCCACCGGTGCTGGAGGTCAAAGAATATGTTCAGTGAAAAGTATAAAACCGCAACTTGCAATCTATTTCTGAGGGGGAAAAATTACCCTTGGGGGTCTACTTCTCTGATTAGAAGACTGGTGAAGACCTAACATTTCTTAGTCACACATGCCTTGTAAAGACCTACCAGCTCCTTGCGTAACCCCCTTGACAAAAACATATCTGCCATTTCACATACGGAGATCCCTCATCTGGCAAGGATTCATAGATTTCTTTAACTAGTGGGGGAAATCCTGTCACTTAAGAATATTATGTAATAATGCTGAATCTAAATTGAGACCATCTAAATGAGAATCTCAGCCCCCTGCTTACCATAGTTATATGATCTTTTAAATTGTATTTTCTTCTTCTTAGCTGTATCTGAGGATCAAGCCACGGCAGAGGAGCTTGGCTTAAATTATATCAGCTCACGTTCCACCCTACTTGCTGAAAACTACTCTGACTTGAAGAAGTTGAAGAACAAGAAGTTACTTCAGAAAGCCGAATGAAGAACATAAAAGTTTCACACTTCTGGTCTTTTGGATGTCAAAGTCGAGAATTACACTTCAAGCTTTTGGTCTTTTGGACCTGTCTGTGAAGGACCATATCATGCTGAAAGGTTTTCAACCTATGTATGGATGATATACACATGGTCATGCTGTTAACTTTTCACTGCAGGAATGTATACACCGTGCAACATTTGTAATGGAGACTTCTAAACAGTGTTTTTTTGTAGACGTGGGATTTTCTGAGCAAAATCAATTTGTAAGGGTTTGTAACTGTGGCAGTTGGAAATGTAAAGCTTTTTCTACATCATGGCAAGAGGCGAGCTTATATACACACACAAGTATATAAAAACATTGGTTGTGTGTTTGACTATTTTCCATTATCTTACTATCAGGTTATCACAAACAATCTTGCTGTGGGTATACAGTGCCTTCAGAAAGTATTCATACCCCTTGACTTATTCCACATTTTGTTGTGTTACAGCCTGAATTCAAAATTGATTAAATTAGTTTTTTTCCCCCCTCACTCATGTACACACAATACCCCATAATGACAAAGTGAAAACATGTTTTTAGAAATGTTTGACAATGTATTGAAAATGAAATACAGATATGTAATTTACATAAGTATTCACACCCTTGAGTCAATACATGTTAGAATCACCTTTGGCAGCGATTACAGCTGTCTTTCTGGGTAAGTCTCTAAGAGCTTTGCACACCTGGGTTGTACAATATTTGCACATTTTTCTTTTAAAAATTCTTCAAGCACTGTCAAGTTGGTTGATCATTGCTAGACAGCCATTATCAATTCTTGCCATAGAGTTTCAATCCGATTTAAGTCAAAACTGTAACTAGGCCACTCAGGAACATTCAATGCTGTCTTGGTAAGCAACTCCAGTGTATATTTGGACTGGTATTTTAGGTTATTGTCCTGCTGAAAGGTGAATTTGACTCCCTGCATCTGTTGGAAAGCAGACTCAACCAGGGTTTCCTCTAGGATTTTGCCTGTGTTTAGCTCTATTCTGTTTATTTTTATCCCCAAAAACTACCTAGTCTTTGCAGATGACAAGCATACCCACAACAAGATGCAGCCACCACCCTGCTTAAAAATATGAAGTGTGGTATGTTGGATTTGCCCCAAACCTAACGATTTGTATACAGAACAAAGTTAATTTCTTTGCCTGAATTTTTTGCCGTTTTAGTTTAGTGCCTTATTGCAAACAGGATGCATTTTTCTGAATATTTGTATTCTGTACAGGCTTTCTTCTTTTCACTCTGTCATTTAGGTTAGTATTGTGAAGTAACTATAATGTTGAACCATCCTCAGTTTCTCCTATCACAGCCATTAAACTCTAACTGTTAAGTCACCATTGGCCTCATGGTGAAATCCCTGAGCGGTGTCCTTCCTCTCCGTCAACTGAGTTAGGAAGGACGGCTGTATCTTTGTAGTGACAGGTGTATTGATACACCATCCAAAGTGTAATAACTTCACCATGCGCAAAGGGATATTCAATGTCTGTTTTTAAACGTTTTACCCATCTACCAATAGGTGCCATTCTTTGAGAGGCATTGGAAAACCTCCCTGGTCTTTGTGGTTGAATCTGTGTTTGAAATTCACTGCTTGACTGAGGACTGCTGACTGTATTTGTGGGGTACAGAGATGAGGTAGTCATTCAAAAATCATGTTGAACACTATTATTGCACATAGTGAGTCCATGCAACTTATGTGACTTGTTAAGCAAAAAAATATATAAACTTATTTAGGCTTGCCATAACAAAGGGGTTGAATACTTTTTGACCCAAGACATTTCAGCTTTTCATTTATGGGGTATTGTGTGTAAACCAGTGACACAAAATCTCAATTTAATCCATTTTAAATTCAAGCTGTAACACAACAATGTTGAAAAAGTCAAGGGGTATGAACACTTTCTGAAGGCACTGTAGCTCCACCTACATTTGAAGCTCTGTAATGTTGTGGTAGTGTTACTTTCATTTTTCCTATGAATGTTTATTTTTCAACGTTTTTGTAGAACATTTTGTGTGTGTGAGTTCTGTACGTAGCCTTGCATGCTGTGCTATGAAGTGCTAATAATGAATGTTGAATGCACAAGCTTCAAGGGCCTCGCTCAACATCACCTCCTAATCCAATGCTTCATATGGACCAGACAGAATATGACCAGCATTTTATGGTTACACGTTATAACTTTCATGATTAAGCATTATAAATGCTTTTTAATCCTTTATTATAAATGCCTAATAATTTCAATGTAAATAATGAAATAGTCATATTAATAGTATGACCCTTTATAAATAGTTAATGTTTAGCCTATTCATGAAAGTCATAAAAGTGTAAACATATTTTATTAATGGAACTGAGTAATTTAAACCAGTGACATTTCAAAACTTTGCTTTCAGCTAAGCTGCAAAATTCACATTAAATGTGTTCTGTGAACAATCTGTGTTGACCATCCAGCCAAATAAGTTCAGCTCTTAAGTCAATAAAAAGATGCTAAAATATTTGTTGTCTTTTGATGTTTCTATGGGGACAAAAGTGTCCATGAAATAAAGAAGTCACGATAAAACATGTTTAATATTATTTACACAACCTTGATGCAATGCATACACATACTGCAAACTTGCCACTTGTCTCAACTGAAGAAGCTAATAATTATATGTTATATATAATCTAAAAGAAAAGCGCTCTGCATGCTTTCTGTACTACATGTGTATAATTCTTATGACCGTAAACATATAAGATACTGTAAAGATCAGCTGTTACTTGAATAAACGGCATCCATCAGTGGTCACCAAGACCTCAATACGCATCAACACCATGATAAATTGAATCAGGTGTTTCACTACTGCACACCTTCCAGCTCTCCCGGACTAGGTTCGGTACCCTCTAGCCTACACAAACATGCAGAAGCTATTCCAAAAATACAAAGTGCAAAATCGACAACTGACTACAATTTTAGTGCTTCAAAATAGTATTTAGAAGTTAATGTACAGTACATTCAATGCTTTAGTTATGATTGCACACAACCTCGTAAAGAATAAGGATAAAGTCAAGAGTTCAATAAATATTTGTCATTTAGGAGTCCATTTAACATGCAGACTCTACACATGGGTATCTAGCTGCACAAAGCTGCCTTGTACACAGACTAGCCTGAAGCTATGACATAGACATCATTGTGTTCAATGAGTTGACATAACAGGGTTACAAAAGCGGCGTCGCTGCTATGAAAAACATCTCATCACTTAAAATACTTGCCCCTGCATTTCTTTAAGAACGGGTTTGCAATGCAACCGTCACTTGACTACGCCGAGCGTATTGACTCTGCTCATTCTCAAACATTATTGCTGCCCTACACAGACTTAGTTGAATTTCACATTTAGAAAATTAGCATGGCAGCATTTACGGTTGGTGCTAGTGCCACTTATTTGCGTCACCAAAATGGGCGGCACGTGGTCTACCTTTCCTTAATACTAATCAAGACGAATGAAGTGCAGAGAGTAAACCACGTCATCTTTTAGAAAAAGGATGGAAGGAAACTTGCATTCAAAAGCATGGTAAAATACTTTTTCCTTTTGCAGACAGGACGCCCACTGGTCCACTCCCTTGCTTTCCCCATGCTTTTGAAAGCAATGCTAACTGATACAACCTGTTTACACTAACATTGCTACATGCGCCAAAAATGCTAGCCATTCTTGACGTTGCTAAATGGGGCCGAGTTTGTGCCCTAGCACTACACAGCTGATTCAAATAAACAAAGCTTGATGATGAGTTGGTTAATTGAATCAGCTGTGTAATGCTAGGGGCGAAAACCAAAACGTGCACCCGGGGGGGCCCCAGGACCGAGTTTGGGAAACCCTGCCTTAGGTAAATCGACAATGAGCTAAAACGTTTAAAACTATCCCTTTAAACCTCCGAAGGATGGGTATACTGAGTATGTTCCACATTGTCCAGTCCAAGTAAAACAGGGAGAGCATGCATTTGATCTATTGTATCTGTTTTGAAATTACCCTCTGGTGTTTGGAGCCAGAGAGGGATGGGAATGGTTCCTTCAAGCAATCCACAGCAGATTACATTTACATTACATTTTAGTCATTTAGCAGACGCTCTTATCCAGAGCGACTTACAGTTAGTTTATTTTTCATACTGGCCCCCCTTGGGAATCAAACCCACAACCCTGGCGTTGCAAACGCCATGCTCTACCAACTGAGCTACATCCCTGCCGGCCATTCCCTCCCCTACCCTGGACGACGCTGGTCCAATTGTGCGCCGCCCCATGATTAGATGAAAGCTTAGCCTGCCTTCCAAGAGGTCACCCGGCTTCGATTTAAGACGCCGAGCTTTGCCGTGCGGCCGAACCCACACTCATCAAAGCGCCGCTCCAGAATCCACCACTGAGAAGGATCAAGGGTTTGAATGGGGCTTCACATCTCTACATGGCACGAAGGGCAGATGAGGAAAGTACAGTACAAACACACTTAGATACACACAAATGGGGATTAAAATACCAGTGTGTGGTTCAATACCAATCTACTGGGATGACGTCCGGCGCCGGCAGTTCACACAAACTTACTCTGAGGGGGGAGGCATGTTCAGGAGAGCTTATCATTTCCTCTCCTTCCCTCCTTTTTCCTCCTCTCTATTTCTCTACCTCCCTCTGGTTCTGGTCGTGGATCTGGTTCTGGTCATGGTTGTGTGAGTTGGGCAGGAGGCTGGTGACGTGGCCGATGCCCTTGGTCACGCCCTCCCTAAAGAGCAGCTTGGCGCCCATGCGGAGGTACTCCGGGTGTTTGATGAAGCGGAAGCAGACCACGGCCCTCTCGCCTGTGCGCAGCTCCTCCTGGTGGTGAAAACAGGGAAGTGTTGAAGTAAAGCAGCAGGGCCACAATCAGTAGGCAGACGTTGTGGAACGTTGCAGATAGAAATGGCATGGATAGAGCTGACCTGATTCCTCTTCCTCTACATGGCAGAGTGGCATGTTTGTTCTATATAATCAAATCTCTATCTGAACGTTGCACAAAGTTGTGTCCTACTGAATGCGGCCCATATTGAGGCACTGCTGTGTTAAGGCGGTGCTTAATGTTGTTTCATTTGACCTTGTACAAATTTGGCTGAATAATACAATGTATGAAAGACGCTGTACGAATAAAACTTATAATTTATCAACTGAAATAATAAAACATATTTAAAAAAAATAAAAAATAGTGTATAGTTACGCAATACGGCACGTGTGGGTGTTGTATATGGCCAGTATATCACGGCTAAGGGCTGTTCTTATGCACGACGCAACGCAGAGTGCCTGGATACAGCCCTTAGCCGTGGTATATTGGCCATATACCACAAACCCCTGAGGTGCCTTATTGCTATTATAAACTGGTTACTGAGGTAATTAGAACAGTAAACAAGTAGTTCTGCGTCATACCAGTGGTATATTGTCTGATATACCAGGGCTTTCAGTCAATCAGCATTCAGGACTTCTAACTACCCAGTTTATAATGATTATTACTAACCTTTCCATGCAGGCACTCCACGGTGGCCGTCTGTCTTACGTTCCCCACGTGCACGGTCACTTGGAAGCCCCGACGGAATGTTTTGGCGTGGAAGAGAAGGACGATGGCCGCCTCAAACTGCCAGCAGATGGTGGGGTTCATCTTCGGGCTGACCATCACCATACCCTATTCAACACACACACCAATAAGTACTTTGGGAGATGGGAAAGGAACAACCATTGTGGGACTGATTTTATAACAACAGTAGACTACATTTTTACTACATATGACTTGTGAGTAGTTTGTGCATGTATGTGTGTATTATATTGTGTTATGAGTGTGCATGGACATTGTGTCAGATTGTTCAAGGACAAAAGTATGTTTTTCACTGATAGCTATCAATTTTTGAATAACTTTATTTATAGAATACATAAATTTTTTCCATGAGGGAACTTCTTGTCTGGAGTGCTTCAAAAATAAACAAACATTAAAACGTAGTAGGCTACACAGACCTGCTACCTATGCTTGAGGTTTCACATGTAACACACAAAACAGAGGACAGATGACAGTATCATAACCATGAGCAGTTTGTGCAGTCGTCCTGTTTCAAAATGTGACCCTGCAACGTTCAGTCATATTAAGGGATGTGATTGGCAGAACATAGAACATGGGAGGGGAAACTACGATATCTTCTAGATAAATAAATGAAAGTCATGAAAATTCACATCTGGGCACATGCGGTGCGGTTGTGTTGTGGCTGAACCCTCTGACCTTGCGGAGCAGCGAGCGGTCAAAGTTGCCCAGGGCCAGTGTGGCGGCTTGGCCGGCTCTCAGCACCCTGCATGCCGAGCGGTTCCTATGGATGCTGCCCACCTTCAGCCTCAGGAAACGGCCCTCGTCCGTAGGACCAACCACCAGCCTCTCCCCCTCGCGACACACCCCACTGTCCGCGGGACAATGGGAGGAAAAACATATGCCATGTCAAGGTGGAACTCTCCAGGTCAAATCATTTGGAGCAGCACTTCAGGGTTACACCGTTTGCAGTACATTGACCTCTATTGGTTTTTGATTAGCTAAAAGCTTAACTGAGCAAATCCTCTGAAAGTATCTTACAAAAAAAGCTCAACAAAGTCACCTATAGGATGTGAACATGATGCGCGGAAAATGCTAATATCGATACCATGACTTGAATGGAATTTGTGCCACAAATGCTAAAACGTTAGCACGTAAGTCTGTAGCCATGAAGTGCTTTCAAAGGCTGGTCATGGCTCACATCAACACCACCCAGAAACCCTAAACCCACTCCAATTTGCATAACGCCCCAACAGATCCACAGATGATGCAATCTCTATTGCACTCCACACTGCCCTTTCCCACCTGGACAAAAGGAACACCTACGTGAGAATGCTATTCATTGACTACAGCTCAGCGTTCAATACCATAGTGCCCTCAAAGCTCATCACTAAGCTGGGACTAAACACCTCCCTCTGCAACTGGATCCTGGACTTCCTGACGCGCCGCCCCCAGGTGGTAAGGGTAGGTAACAACACATCTGCCACGCTGATCCTCAACACGGGGGCCCCTCAGGGGTGTGTGCTCAGTCTCCTCCTGTACTCCCTGTTCACGCATGACTGCATGGCCAAGCACGACTCCAACGCCATCATTAAGTTTGCCGACGACACAACCGTGGTAGGCCTGATCACCAACAAAGATGAGACAGCCTATAGGGAGGAGGTCAGAGACCTGGCAGTGTGGTGCCAGGATAACAAACTCTGCCTCAACGTGATCAAGACAAAGTATATGATTGTGGACTACAGGAAAAGGAGGACCGAGCACGCCCCCATTCTCATCGACGGGGCTGTAGTGGAATATGTTGAGAGCTTCAAGTTCCTTGGTGTCCACATCACCAACAAACTATGATGGTCCAAACACACCAAGACAGCCGCAAAGAAGGTACGACAAAGCCTATTCCCCCTCAGGAGACTGAAAAGATTTGGCATGGGTCCTCAGATCCTCAAAATGCTCTACTGCTGCACCATCGAGAGCATCCTGACTGGTTGCATCACCTCCTGGTATGGCAACTGCTTGGCCTCCGACCGCAAGGCACTACAGAGGGTAGTGCATACGGCCCAGTACATCACTGGGGCCAAGCTTCCTGCCATCCAGGACCTCTATACCAGGCGGTTTCAGAGGAAGGCCCTAAAAATTGCCAAAGACTCCAGCCACCCTAGTCATAGACTGTTCTCTCTGCTACTGCACGGTAAGCGGTACCGGAGCGCCAAGTCTAGGTCCAAAAGGCTTCTCAACAGCTTCTACCCCCAAGCCATAAGACTCCTGAATAGCTATAAGACTCCACCCCCCCATTTTCATTTTGTAATTTGGGTGAACAATCCCTAGAACAGTTCTAAATCAATCCATTATCATTCCATTCATGAGTATCAATATGACGTATGGCCAACTGACCTGTAGAGAGTTCCTCCCACCACTGTCCCCACATCTGGCACTGTATAGATCTCATCTACCTATATTCACAAGCAGAGGAATGAGGAAGTATATTTTGCAAGCATTGACACAGAATAAGGGTGTGAATCTGAATGTGTGAAAGTGCATGTTCACATCTCGTATGTATGCAATGTATGTGTGGGTGTATGTTTTGTTATGCGTGTGCATGAATACATGTATGCGTTTGGATGGGTGTAGTGTGTTGGTAAAGTGTACGTGTGTGTAATATTTGTGAGTTGTTTGTGCACAAATGTGTGTGTACGTGTATTATTGTGTGAGTTGTGAGTGTGCATGGACCCACACAATGTCCATGCACACACATCATTCACACAATAATTGTATACGTTAATGTGCGTGCGTGCATACGCAGGTGTACTACCTGGAACTCAGTAAGTTGCTGCATGAGCTCCTCCTGCTCCTTGCTGTTGCTGAGAGGAGGCAGGATGTTGAAGAAGACCTTAAGCAGGTCCAGACTCTCTCCAGACACGCTGGACAGGGTGAAGATGGGTGTGATGCTACGGCACAAAGGGACACACCAGTGTTGCACTCTCAAGCACAGACTATACATGTAGCTAAAGTTGGCATGAGGTGACTTTTACGACCAGTATATAACCTAACCATGACATCACAAACGTTGTTGTAATTATGTCATTTCGTGTAAAGAAATTGGCTTGGGTGATCAGAACATTATTGTCTGGATGTCAAGAAGTGGTTTTCTGGTTGAGGAGACATATCGGATAACCAGATTACAACCAGGTAAAGACGTGTTTTTCATGACTACACCAAGAAGTCATAAAGATGTCATATTTTGGATGTTATCTGGTCAGATTACTAAATAACAACCAGATAGACATATTTTAATGGTTGCTCAAAAGATGTCTAAAAAACGTCTCATCTGGTTATCTGACTTCCATAAAAATCAGTTTACACATGGGAAGATTGCGTCATTATGATGCCCCATGCCTAATTCTGCCCACTAAGTTAGTTAGTCCCTTGATGTTTAAATGAGACAAGGTCAAACAACTAGGTCAAACAACTAGGGCTGGGAATTGCCAGGGACCTCACAATACTGTCACGGTTTCGGCCGAGGCTGCCTCTCTTCCTTGCTCGGGCAGGCTTCGGCGTTCGTCGTCTCCGGAATACTAGCTGCCACCGTTGCATGTTTCTATGTTCGTTTGCTTTTGTCTGATTGTTGTTACACCTGTTATCGTTTAGTGTCATTAGTGTCCTATAAGTTCTCGTTGTGTTTGTCAAGTGTTGTGTGTGATTGTTTTACTGTCGTGCGGTAGGCTAGTATTCTACTGTTTGCTCGGTTTAGCTATTCTCCATAGTGTTTGGAGTGTTTCGTCGCACCTGTTAGTGCGCCCGTTTGTTTTCGCCTACGTGCGGAGTTCTCGCCTCAGGGCATTTATTCGTGCTTGTGTTTTGTGCATCTACTAAAGTCTTTTGGACTAACGTTCTGCGTCATGCGCCTGATTCCACCACCACACCCACCTACAGCTACACTGACAGAATCACACACCTGCTCGAATGGAATCAGCAGGAGCCGCAGCCGCACAGGAGACGTTGGAGGACAGAGTCCGGGAGCAGAATGACCAGATCCTGCGGATGGGGTCCGCCCTGCAGGAGGTGATCACCACCCTCCAACGCTGGGAGACCCGAGGGACACCCCCAACGCCATCTTCCCTGCCCTCACCATCGGCGAGTCAGCCCCTTCCCGCTCCGGAACCCAGAGGAGTTCGACTCTCGCTCCCGAGGGCCTACGATGGGACCGCTGCCGGGTGTCAGGGCTTCCTTCTCCAGGTGGAGCTTTACCTGGCCACCGTGCACCCGGCGCCCTCGGGACACGAGAGCGTGTCCGCCCTGATCTCCTGCCTTTCCGGCAAAGCGTTAGAGTGGGCCAACGCTGAGTGGAGGAGAATAGACGCTACTACCATCACGTACGCCGAGTTCTCCCGCCGCTTCAGGGCGGTGTTTGACCATCCCCCGGAGGGGAAAGCGGCGGGGGAGCGTCTGTTCTGCCTCCGGCAGGGGAGGAGGAGTGCCCAGGAGTTCGCGTTGGAATTCCGGACTCTAGCGGCGGATGCAGGGTGGAATGAGCGGGCCCTCATTGATCACTACCGCTGTAGTCTACGTGAGGACGTCCGTAGGGAGCTGGCCTGTCGGGACACCAGCCTCTCGTTCGACCAGTTAGTCGACATGTCCATCAGGCTGGATACCCTGCTAGCTACCCGCGGACGTCCCGAGGGGGGTCCGTCCATTTCACCCTCCAGCGCCTCCGAGCCGTGCCCCATGGAGCTCGTGGGCGCTGGCGCTAGAGAGAGGAGGGGTCGGAGTACGAGGGGGTCCATCTCCTGCACCAACTGTGGTCGGGGAGGACACACCGCGGCTAGGTGCTGGGGATGGCCTCCTCGGGGAGAAGACGACAGGCCCCGCACTGGGGAGCCCTTCCAGGTGAGTAGGCGCCCCACTCACCCAGAGCTCTCTGTTGCACACTTCTGTATACCTGTGCGATTTCCACAGGTCGCACCTCATTCCCAGCATAAGGCGCTGGTAGATTCAGGCGCGGCTGGGAATTTTGTTGATAAGAGATTTTGTTTAGCCTTAGGGATTCCCCTTCTCCCTGTTGACGTCCCCTTCCCCGTTCATGCCCTAGATAGCCGTCCGTTGGGTGCGGGCTTGATCAGGGAGGTCACGGCGCCACTTAGGATGTGTACGCAGGGGGGTCATCAGGAGATGATCCAGCTATTTCTGATCGACTCGCCTGCGTATCCGGTGGTGCTGGGCATGCCCTGGTTGAGTACCCATAACCCGTCTATTTCGTGGCAGGAGAGGGCTCTGATGGAGTGGTCTGCCCAGTGTGTGGGTCGATGTTTAGGCGTTTCCGTAGGGGCTACCTCGGTGGAGAGTCCAAACCAGGTGCCCGCATTGCACGTTCCCCCTGAGTATGGGGATTTGGCTATTGTGTTCAGTAAGTCGAGGGCGACGCAGTTGCCTCCCCATAGGCAGGGAGATTGTGCGATAGACCTCCAGGCAGGAGCTGCGCTCCCACGGAGCCATGTGTATCCTCTGTCTCAGGAGGAGAAGAGAGCTATGGAGACTTACATAGACGAATCTCTGAGACAAGGATACATACGGCCCTCCACTTCCCCTGCGTCCTCGAGTTTCTTTTTTGTGAAGAAAAAGGATGGTGGGTTACGCCCGTGCATTGATTACCGTGGTCTCAATCAGATCACGGTGAAGTACAGTTATCCACTCCCGCTGATTGCGACCATGACGGAGTCATTGCACGGGGCGCGTTTCTTCACTAAATTAGATCTCAGGAGCGCGTACAACTTGGTGCGCATTAGGCCGCATTAGGGGGGGCGATGAATGGAAGACAGCCTTTAGTACCACCTCGGGCCATTACGAGTATCTTGTCATGCCATACGGGTTGATGAACGCTCCTTCAGTTTTCCAATCATTCGTGGATGAGATCTTCAGGGACATGCAGGGGCAGGGGGTGGTCGTGTACATAGATGACATTCTCGTGTACTCGCCTACCCGAGTCGAGCATGTGGCCCTGGTGCGCCGAGTGTTGCGGAGGCTGTTGGAGCACGACCTGTATGTCAAGGCAGAGAAGTGTCTGTTTTTCCAGGAGTCGGTCTCCTTTTTGGGTTATCAGTTGTCTGCGTCAGGGGTGAAGATGGAGGTAGACCGGGTGTCAGCCGTGCGTAATTGGCAAACGCCAACCACTGAAGGAGGTGCAGCAGTTTTTGGGGTTTGCGAATTACTACCGGAGGTTTATCCGGGGTTTTGGACAGGTGGCAGCTCCCATAACGTCTCTTTTGAAGGGGGGTCCGGTGCGTCTGCAGTGGTCAGCCGAGGCGGACAGGGCGTTTGGGAGGCTGAAGGACCTGTTTACCTCGGCCCCGGTGCTGGCGCATCCGGATCCCTCTTTACCATTCCAGGTAGAGGTGGACGCGTCAGAGGCCGGTATAGGAGCCGTGCTTTCGCAACGGTCCGGCGCGCCACCTAAACTCCGCCCCTGTGCTTTTTATTCCAAGAAGCTCAGTCCGGCGGAGCGAAATTATGACGTAGGGGACAGGGAGCTGTTAGCCGTGGTACAGGCCCTAAAGGTGTGGAGGCACTGGCTTGAGGGGGCTCAACACCCTTTCCTCATTTTGACGGACCACCGTAACCTGGAGTACATCCGGGCAGCGAGGAGACTGAACCCTCGCCAGGCGAGGTGGAATATGTTTTTGACCCGGTTCACATTTAAGATCACGTACATCCCTGGGTCACAGAACGGTAAGGCAGACGCACTGTCTCGGCGGTATGACACGGAGGAGAGGTCCGTGGAGCCCACTCCCATACTGCCGGAGTCTTGTCTGGTGGCACCGGTAGTGTGGGAGGTCGATGCTGAACTCGAGCGGGCGTTACGCACCGACCCTAGTCCACCTCAATGCCCGGAGGGTCGGAAGTACGTTCCGCTCGAGGTTCAGGATCGATTGATCTATTGGGCTCACACGTCACCCTCCTCTGGACACCCTGGTATCGGCCGGACAGTGCACTGTCTTAGTGCCAAGTACTGGTGGCCCACGTTGGCGAGGGATGTGAGGGTTTATGTTTCCTCCTGCTCGGTGTGCGCCCAGTGTAAGGCGCCTAGACATCTGCCTAGGGGTAAGTTACTACCCCTGCCCGTTCCACAACGACCATGGTCTCACCTCTCGGTGGATTTCCTCACTGACCTTCCTCCTTCACAGGGGAATACCACTATACTGGTCGTTGTGGACCGGTTTTCTAAGGCCTGTCGTTTGCTCCCTATGCCGGGCCTTCCTACTGCCCTGCAAACCGCCGAAGCACTATTCACCCATGTGTTCCGGCACTACGGGGTACCCGAGGATATTGTGTCTGATCGAGGTCCCCAATTTACCTCCAGAGTCTGGAGAGCTTTTATGGAGCGGTTGGGGGTCTCGGTGAGCCTCACCTCGGGTTACCACCCGGAGAGTAATGGGCAGGTGGAACGTGTGAACCAGGATGTGGGTAGGTTTCTTAGAACATACTGCCAGGACCGGCCGGAGGAGTGGGCAAGGTACGTTCCCTGGGCCGAAATGGCCCAGAATTCCCTACGCCATTCCTCCACTAACCTAACCCCTTTCCAATGTGTGTTAGGTTACCAGCCGGTTCTGGCACCTTGGCAGCAGAGCCAGATCGAGGCTCCTGCGGTGGATGAGTGGGTGCGGCGCTCGGAGGAGACATGGAACGCTGCACACGTCCACCTGCAGCGGGCCCTCCGTCGTCAAAAGGCGAGCGCCGATCTCCACCGCAGTGAGGGACCGGTGTACGCACCTGGTGATCGAGTCTGGCTCTCTACCAGAAACCTGCCCCTCCGCCTGCCCTGTCGGAAACTGGGTCGGCGGTTTGTAGGGCCATTTAAAGTCCTGAGAAGATTGAACGAGGTGTGTTACAAATTACAACTACCTGTTGAGTATAAAAGTATTAACCCCTCGTTCCATGTGTCTCTTCTCAGGCCGGTGGTAGCTGGCCCACTCCAAGAAAGTGAGATCAGGGAGACTCCTCCGCCCCCATTGGACATTGAGGGGGCACCGGCGTACTCCGTGCGGTCCATCTTGGATTCGAGACGTTGGATGGGGGGTCTCCAATATCTAGTGGAGTGGGAGGGGTACGGCCCGGAGGAACGGTGCTGGGTGCCGAGGAGAGACATTTTGGACCCGTCTCTCCTGACGGAATTCCATCGTGGGCACCCGACGCACCCTGCTCCGCGTCCTCCTGGTCGTCCCCGAGGCCGGAGTCGGCGCACGTCTGGAGCCGCGCGTCAAGGGGGGGGGTACTGTCACGGTTTCGGCCGAGGCTGCTTCTCTTCCTTGCTCGGGCAGGCTTCGGCGTTCGTCGTCTCCGGAATACTAGCTGCCACCGTTGCATGTTTCTATGTTCGTTTGCTTTTGTCTGATTGTTGTTACACCTGTTATCGTTTAGTGTCATTAGTGTCCTATAAGTTCTCGTTGTGTTTGTCAAGTGTTGTGTGTGATTGTTTTACTGTCGTGCGGTAGGCTAGTATTCTACTGTTTGCTCGGTTGAGCTATTCTCCATAGTGTTTGGAGTGTTTTGAGTTTGAGTTTGAGTTTGAGTTTATTTTTACAGGGACAGTGCACATTAATCAACGTTTCAGTAAAAGTGCCGGTTTTAGCCAGCCGGCTAATTTTCAACCGCAGTCCCTGGGCAGGTTATTAAAAACAATTACAATATAGACAATAACAACATAGAACAAGACATAGCATACAGACATAGCAACATAGGACAAGCAAGACGTAGCATACAGACAGAGCAACATAGAACAAAAAGCAGCAAGACAAAATATTCAAAATTTTGTCGCACCTGTTAGTGCGCCCGTTTGTTTTCGCCTACGTGCGGAGTTCTCGCCTCAGGGCATTTATTCGTGCTTGTGTTTTGTGCATCTACTAAAGTCTTTTGGACTAACGTTCTGCGTCCTGCGCCTGATTCCACCACCACACCCACCTACAGCTACACTGACAAATACGACATTATCACAATACTTTGGTGCCGATACGATATGTATTGCGATTCTCACGATTCTATATGTATTGCGATTTGATACTGCGATTTTATTGTGATTCGATGTTCCAAACATATTGCTCACCATATGTCTGCTGCAGAGGGACAAGAGAGAGCCATGAGAAAACAGGTTTGATCAGTCATGGAAATAAAAAAGTGCTGAAAACAAATTGGCTCCATATTTAAAAAGAAGATGGAGAACAAGCTACGAAGGAAAAATACTGGAGTTTTAGTGCAGCTATCGCAAAATTAATATTGTGATATTGTCAAAAAGATATGCTATATCGTTAAAAATAATATCCCAATATGTAACTGTATTGATTTTTTCCCCCACCAATACAAACAACATTGCCGTACATGCTTGCTAAGTCAATTCCCTTCTAGTCACCCTGGACTAAGGCTTATGTGGTGTATAGTTGGGGTTCTGAATCTCAATTCCAGTTTCCTTCTAGGTCTACCTGGAGGACTGAGCGAACTGCTGGGCAGCTGTGACAGCGTCGTCCGGGCTGGCCACCACCATCGGCACCTTGTTACAGCCGGGCAGCTTGAGGACATGCTCCAGCTGGCGTACTGTGCGTTCCACCGTGCCCTTGGCGCACAGGTCCACCTTGCTGACCACGATAAAGATGGGCACCTTAAGTGCCATGGCCAGGCCTAGGTGCTCCCGGGTGGTGCCAGCTAAGGGGGAGAAAATAGTATATGATTGGGTCAGTGGTAGGGTTGCAAAACTCCCAGTAATTTACAAAAGTTACCAGACTTTTGGTAATTAACTGATTATTTTGGAAATCTATGGAAACTTTGGTAATTTATACTTGAGTAACAAAAAAAAAGAAATGGTGTCCATGTTGTCCATGAGTTTCTAGTAAATAGACCATATGGTTCATTAAAGATGAATGGAAAAACATCTAATAAACAATGACCTCATCCGCAATTAACGCCCTCTATGTAACCCTAGTCAGTGGTCACATAAGTAGTCAAACGCACATCACTTTTCATAGCTTGCTGGGCCAAACAAATCTTGTAGAAGTTACCAGGGCCCGCACAATCTACAATGTTATAGCTATATGATCAGGCTTACCTATGCCTGTGTTGGCGCTGACCACCAGCATGGCGAAGTCTGGGCAGTAGCTGGTGAGGCCAAAGATGGTGGTCTTCAGGTACTTGTGGTGGCCGGCCAGGTCAATGAAGGTGATCATTTTAGAAGAGCTCTCGCAAATCTCTTCGGCTGTACGGGAGTCACTGTAGTTCACCACCTTCAAAAGCCACATGAGAGGAAGTTCAATTCACTTGTGCGTTGTTACGCTGTTTTTATGGGTTAGTCACAAATAGAAGATGTTCAAAACATTTGCGAACTGTTACATAGTTTGTGTTATTACACGTTTTTGTTATATCAGTGTCGTTTTTGAGGACAACGTTTTTTATTTTATTTTTATAGTCTTTGCTCAAAGAAGAGGAAAACGAATGTGTGTTTATCCTTCCTTCCTCTATCTTGTCACCTATAAGACGCTGTTACCCACCTCCCCTTTGCTATTGAAGCCCAAAATCTCAAAGCTGATGCTGGATGTCCTGCCCGTTTGGATTTCGTGAAGGTGCCTGAAGAGGTTGAGGCGTGCCCGGCCTCGCCCGTTGTCCAGCTCGCCTTGCGTCAGCACGCCCAACAGTGTGGATTTCCCGGAGTCCACGTTTCCCAGCACCGCCACACGCAGGTCCAAGAACTGCTCTCATACACACACAAATTACAGCAGATCGGCGTGGCAGAAACCCTCCATTGTATGTACAGCTTACCATTGAGCATTTATATAATTGAGTGCAAAACAAATGGTAGAGGTAGGACATCTGACTCTGCAGTTTTTTTAAGGAGAGTGGAGAGTCACTCTCCTTTCGCATTTTAATGCTTTATTGACAGACAGGAAAGAAACAATGGGAGATAGGTGAGGAGGAGACACAGTGAGAAGGGAATTTAACCACAGTCTTCGGTGTGGGGGGGGGGGGGGGTCGCATATATGCATGGAGCCAGGAGTGTTACCACTGGACCACGTCTCAGCACACAGTCAGCCCCTCTGCTGTTTAATCTCACCTGTTGGTCGTCTGGAACTTTTCGGACAAGAACCTCTGCGATTTTCCGGCAGCTTCTGTCCGAGTCGTAATCCACCTCTCTTTCTCGTAGAAGTGTGATGTCAGCACCAACCCTAGTGAGGCAGCGATAGCACATTTATCACCAACACCCACCAAACTGAGGGGCAACTGGTAAATACAGCAACAATGGCAAACTGTCAAATTAGACATTTATAAAGTAGTTTCTTCAAAAATCTATGGGTATAATTGAAATGACCATTGAGCAGAATAAAGTATCCCAGATTGTGCCTTTGGTGACGTTTGCAAACGAGCTAGTGACATACTTCTCTGCCATCCTCCGTAGGGTCTTCAGCGAGGCTCTCATGTCTCCCTCTGACAATCCGACAAGCAGGCCATTGTCTTCCACCCCAATCTGATACACCGCCTCACCCCGTCCCTCTTGAAGACGCCATTTTAACTGGGTGGCCAGGTGCTCAAAGCGGTATTGTGTGGGGTTCACCAACTTCAGCTGCAGTGAAGATAGAGCACGGGACAGCACTTCACTACCAAGAAGTGTCCAACAAGTGAACCACGTGTTTGAGAGCGTGCATGCCTATACATCGATGGGTTTTGTCTTTTGTCTTTTGATTACTAGCTACAGGTGAAATGGAAGATGACATGCAAAAATAAAGAACTGTATACTAGTACCTTATATTCAATGTTTCCCTCTTCAGCCTGAGAGAAACAGAGGGAAGGACATGTTTTGAAAAGGTGTGCCTGTACTGCAATTTGTATTTTGACAGACAAGCACAACCCACTGTTGACTAATGTACTTCTTAATAAAAACTACCCACACCACAGCAAGCTATCAGTACAATATTTTATATCTATGCACCACCAGGGAAACAATGTATCTTGCAACATCATCATGAAGCTGCCAAGCTGCTCTCTTGCAGCTAGTCACAACATTGATTGTAATGTGAGAAAGCCAGCTGTTGTTGTTGTCAACAAACAAACAAATGTCCATTCCCTGCTTATAACAACGTTACATATGGCCAAAAAGTTTCTTACCATCGAAAAAGATCAGACGACAGCATCTGCCAGATGCTAGCTAAAATAATGTCAGAATTTGTAAATAGCTAGGCTCTGGCTAGCCTAGCATTGGATAATTTTGCTAGCTAGCCAACTAACATGAACTTGATAGCAAGCTGCAGCTAGCTACAGTAGCTAGCATTTACCTCCGGTGGTAAATATGGTGGTGTTCTGTTGGTCTTCGTCTTTTTACTCCTCCGTCTCTTTCTTCTTTTCCCTTTTTTTGAACGCGTTTTTTTGGAAGTCATCCTTCTCCCGTTACCTGAACTGGGTCCTTGCAAATTTGATCTAACGTTAGGCAAATTTGATCTAACGTTAGCGGTTGTACCAACGACACCGGTCCCGCCTGATATTCGCGAATCCATCACGAGAATTAACTAGCTAACGCTAACCCACACTGTTTTGTCAGTAAGAATTTAACAGACGTCTGCAAATGAAAAAATACACATAAATATGGGCTCAGAGTGGGTAGCTAACGCAATCGGCCCAACGGAGGCTGGTCTTCTCTCCATCTCTTGCCTTCTACTAGCGCAAAGTCAGGGTTCTCCAACTGGCGTCCCGCGGCCCGATTTTTTTAGTTGATTTATAATATTTATATTACACGTTTTATATTATTAGTATTATTGTTATTTTTTTTATTATTCTTGAACATAAAATACTAAAAACACCAAGAAATCAGCTCCAAGTGATTTTAATTTTGGAAATCTGTTCCCAAGTATTACCACACATTAGAGAGAGACTTGATCTCAAACAAATGTAAGCAAGGTTTGTAATTATTAGATTTTTTGTCAAATATTATATCTGTTTGAGCTTCTTGGGGTCAATTTGTAGTCTTCAAATTATTTGTAATTATGTTCTGGCTCACGACCATCAAGAAAAACTCGGCCTGCTGCTGAATCTAGTTGATGATCCCTGCGGACTGTAAAAAGAGTGACGCTCATGTCTCGAGCGAGCCTCCAACGCTAGTTTCGGTGACCCGTGGTCTTTTCCTTTAGGGTTTCCATTACCCGAGCCACAAGAAAAAAAAAATGGGGGCAGTGTTTGGGG